CATACCGTAACGCGTGGTTTGTTGGTTTGGTGGGCGAAGGGGATGCATCTGCTTTCCCCTCCAAAAACCCAGAATTTTCCTGCTTTCTCCGTCAGTCACTCTTCGCCCGCTGGATGAGAAGGACAGGCTCGCTTTCTCTTCACAGAACCGGAAGAGGGAAGCTTTTAGTGAGAAATTGTTGTACGCAGTGTTCCTCTGACAAATTGCTCGAAAATGTTTGGCAAGCGTTAAATTACAGTTAAAATTGGTCAGCATTCTGTTTATTTCATTAAAATGGTGTTAAGTTTCAAAACGGCGATAAATTTATTATGTTGTTTCAAATTTTGAGAGGAAAAGTGTAATAAATTCAAGTAATAGAATTTCAAAAAAGTTTTCAAGAATCTCCTGTAATGAGTTTGAGACTTTAAACGGTTCGAAATTTCGTTGTGTCTCGTATAAAAAAAATGCAATCTACACTTTGAAATTGATTGAATTGAAGGTGACGCGGGTGAGTGAAATTTGTTTTGATAAATTTAGACGCCAAAAAAGTTGTTGTTAGGAATATGCAATGATATTTAACTTTATAAGATAGGAATTTTACTTAGGATTAGTTTGTTTAAATTGTAAGTATAAAATGAAATTTTTAAAGTTTAAAATTGAAAATTTCTTAAATTTATAGACTTAAGAAAGTGCACTTTATATGGGGTGAAAAGTAGTGAAAACCACTTTATGGGAAGGCTGTGTCCGTCCGTCCATATTTCTGTCTGACGAAGCTCTAACTTTCGACAAAAATGTCATTTTAAACGCAATTTTTCTTTTTGTAATCAACAATAGACCTTAAAAGTAAGACACCGTTATTTTTTTGTAGTTTTTAAAATATCTAAAAAAATCAATATAAAAATTGTCCCTTTCATTCAAACAAATTAATTTAGCGAGGAAGATTTTGCCTTTCAAAATTAACTTTTTTAAACATGAAATCTGTTTACGTTAAAATTGGAAATTTCGGAGAATTTTCGTACTTTTGAGTTTTGATCCCAGGTTTAAAAATCCTTAAGACATTTAGAAAGCAATTTGTGCTCGGACGAATCCTATGCGTCTTCTGCTCTGGGCTTTGGGTCTCGAGGGAAATTGTTTGTGTGGGACTTTCCATGCGGGATTAATCGTCCACTTGATCAACGTTCTCCTCAAGATTTTAGAAGGACTACTTTATTTCGGGACTATTTATTCCTTTTGTATTTATCCGTGAATGGGCTGGGGAAAGGGTTGAAAATATAGAGAAAAACATATGTAATTGCTACATGGTAGAGTGAAATTTTTTTGATATCATTTTTTCAAGAATTTTTCAGAAATTTTGGAATGTTTTTTGTAAATCTTGAGTGAAAGTTTGACTAAAAAATATAGTATTTTATTTTGAATTAATTTTTTGTGGAGATTTCCAAGTATTTTGAAATATATACCTGACTTATAACAAGTTAGGAACTAGATCGTGTCACCGCGTGGTAATTCACGTAGTTATTGGTAACTTCGTAAATGTCGTAAATTTTGAAGATTTTATAAACATTTATAAAATAAAAAGACGCCTTTAATTTGAGCAAGTTTAGACAATTTTGTGGGTCAATTTTCTTTTGAAATTTTTGCAAACTTTTATAAGGTTTGCAAATTTACAGAATTTATGGATTTTACAATGTCATCAAGTCAGGCTTGAGCACCCTGGTAAAATTTGTTACCGAAAAGTAGCCCGGAATTTCCGGGGTATAAAAAATTGTTGCCGTGTTTTAACCAAGTTCTAACCTAAACGTGGAATATTTGAGTTGATCATAAATTTTTGTTACCACTCGGTAGTAAATCTTTACCAACGTGATAGTTACTGGCTACACGTGTTCGCGATTTTGAACTTTTTTAGTGTAAATGTTCCACTTTTTACATTGTTCCACTTTCGTTATAATTTGTATTTTCTCATTTAAACCAAGTTCAGCCAAGGGAGGAGGGCGAGAGTGAAAGTTGTAATTGTGTAGGCGTGGGCCAGATTCGAGGAGAAAGTAGGATTTTGACGGATGAGAGATTTTTTGAGCTCGTGGAGGAAGAAAGAGGAATTAATTTTGTTTCTTCGTCTGCTGCTGCAAATCAGAAATCCTGCTGGTACACAGTTCGTTTCGTGGCCATCAGTTCACTCAGCGGCTGTTCTGTTGTTGCACTTATTTTGGCGTCGGATTTCGAAAGTCGGAGGAGAATTATCTTGTCCTCGTCTTATCTTGGAGACTTACTGCGAGCACATTTTCTTAAGAGAAAGCTAATGCGTTGCAGAATCCAGAAGTTGAAATGCTGGTTTGTTTGTGGGCGATCTATTTATGCCTGAACCAGAAATAAATACATTTTACACTTACATTTCTTAAATTTCTAACCCTAAGAATGAATACATTTCTTTACACTTAAATATATACTTAATGTCTATAATTTCTTGAATTTCTTAAATAACGTTCTTGTATAAATTTCTGCATATTTATTTATAGTAAATATTTACGGTCATCATTTTGCTTTTATTTATGACTGAATCAAAAAAAACCTTTTTATACATAAAGATACGTAAATGTTTTTAATTTCTTAAATTTCTTAAACAAATTGTTACATAAATTTCTGGACATTTTTCATATATTTTAAACTTTTATTTACCCGTCATCAGTCTCTTTTAAATAATTAGTGTACTTAAGTTTGTACGCAATGGAATTGAATTGAATCCGCTTTTGAGATTTTGTAAAAACCGCTAAAAAAATTACGGTGGTAGAACCCTAACCGAAATTGTGGCCTGAATTTGTACAATAAATAGTTTGAGGATTAAACATTGTTACATAATTTCTGAAGCTGATATGTGGTGTGGTAAATCTTTACCTATAAAAATCTGTAGAAATGAGGTTCTTTAGGAGAGACTTAAAATTAGCTTAATAGAATAAGCTCATTTACTGTAAGAGGTTTGATCCTCTTACGTAATTCCTAATTCGTGAGCGAAAATATAGATTTTCTTCGTTGTATAATCATGCGTGATGAGGAAAGGAAATAAAATTGCTCAATTTAAACTCCGCATAAAAGAATTGTGGGCAGTTTTATTTCCCAGAATTTAACCAAAAGGTACGATAAGCTCTAACTACAAAATTTACGAAATAAGATAAGCGTCAAAAAGCTTTAAATTTTGAGTGGAAAGAATTTCTCCAAAATGACCCTGAAAAACCGGCCTGATTCCCGCTGAAGAAAATTATATTCAATTTTTAGTTTTTTTTTACACCTTACTTAAGTTAATCACTTAATTATTAACTGCTCAATTATTTTTAAAAACTACCAATAAATATTTTGCATTTCAATTTTTCTATGCTACAATTTGAAGGATTAGATTCAAGAGTAACATAATAATCTCGGTTTCGTAGTGAAACATGGTTTTGACTTATTTGGAAGCCAATTCTGGTTATTTCTGTTGTCCATAAAATTCCCAAACCTCTTCAGATCAATTTGATTTTTTAAATTTTAGGGTCTCCCAAGTTTGTAAAAGAAATCTAAAAAAGCGAAAAGCTAAAAAATCTGAAATCCACTTTTTTCGATCAATACTTGACTGTCCCGATTTTTAATCTCTTGAATACTTTAGCTTAAAATTATTAAAATGGGATAAAAGTAAGATTTTTGGCAAAGGTTTGAATGCGGTAGTTTTACTGGTTGCAATGCTTTTCAGGGGGTGTGGCGGGCGCAGGTGGGGCCATGGAGTAAAATCCTCCTTCACTTTCCATACACTCACCTGCTATTGCAACATATCCATAGGGCATCAAAATCGGGTGATATCCCATTAAACATGTCTCCGAGAGACTGATTTTTCACTCAAAGTAGTAAAAAGAGCGAAAAAATCATCTTAAAGTAGATTTTATTTTGGAGCGGAAAAAGCGGAAAAAAGATTGGAATCGCATGCGCAGTGCGGTTTACAAAAAGAGCGAAAAAATCGTGAGCTGAAAAAGCGATTTTTTTTGCAAAGTCGGGACACCCTTTTATTACTTATTGAAATGAACTTGAAATAATTTAGGATTAGTATCAATTTACATTTTAAACAGATAATTTCAAGTTTTCAAAACTTACCAAGAATTTAATAAATTTCGTATTCGATATTTTTTGGCCTAATTTCCTTTAAAATCTTAAATGAGATCTATGTACCTAATTACAAATCAATATTTTACATTGATATTTTTTATGATAAATTTTCAGAATAATTTTCAAGAATAACATAATAATCTCGATTTCGTACACTCTAAAAAATCTGGTAATAAATTCTTAATACTGCGTATTACCGCCTGTGTGGTAAGATTAGGTATTACCATCAGCGGTAGTATGGGAACGCTCTACTACCATTTCCTCCACCATGTGGCAGCAAACACTACTATTTTGTACGTAAGGGAATTTGAACCCGATTTTGAGGTTTTGTAAACCTTTAAAAAAATTACGGTGTTGAAAACCTAGTCGAGATTTTGCCCTGAACTTGGAGAAAAAATGGTTAGAGGATTAATTACGGTTATGTAATTTTTAAGGCTGACATGTGGTGCGGTAAATCTTTGCCTATAAAAATCTGTGTTAAGTGTGGAAATGATGTTCTTTAGGTGAGACTTAAATCAGCTTAATAGAATAAGCCGATTTATTGTAAGAGATTTGATCCTCTTACGTAATTCCTAATTCGTGAGCTATTAGCTAACACTCTACATGACGAGTTGATGGGACTAATTTGGTAGGAATTATATAAGTACCCACAATTCAAAAAATTGTGGGTGGATTATTTTTACGAAAAAATACCGGGTTTATAGTTAGCTTGAAATTTTACTTAAATTTTTATTTTGAACAAATCTGTATATAAAATTTGCAAAAGTTAGCCAGGAATTTTAAAATTTCTTACTAAATATTTTTTGTTACAAGACATTTTTTACAAAGTGTTTAGTTTCTAATTTCCCCCACCAATTTTAAATGAGGTGATTATTAACGATTCCATTTATTTATTACAGGCTTTCAGGAGGAGTTTTCACCAGGCAAATTTGGAACTTTCACCAAACAATCTAATGGAATTTGAAATCTCAGATTTCGTAACGTCGTGAACGAATGTGAGAAACGAATGTGAATCAGAAACCTGAAATCATTTGGGACTTTGTCTTTTGGAGAATAAATGAATATTGATGAGTTTTTGAGGTGAAAACAGTGCACGTGTTTAAAACAAGAAAGATATTCGAGTGCTAACTGAAGTGTTTGGTGCAGAGAAAGTTTGTGACTTTGAACGACGAGTATCCTAATTTTTCTGGACAAATTATGATGGAAACGCGACTCGGAAATATGTAAGAAATTAATTTTGTTATATTTCCATGACGAAAATTTTAGCTAGAAAATATTTTAAGAAATTTTGTTACAAATTGAATTTAGCAATATTTTTCCGCTTTCTCTTTTGATGTACAATTGATATCATTAAACTTAAATCATGCTGGTAACAAAATCATAGTCAAGCGTTACCAAGCTGATAAAGATTTGCAACCGAATCGTAATCTTGATTTCCGGACAACTCAAATGTGGCACCTTTCCTGTAAGAAATGTATTACATCAAACGCTGTAACAATTTTAAGTCTCTACGAAAATATTGTTTCTCACAGCGTTTACCAGCTTGGTGATACTTTCTCACCGAATGGTAGCAATGACTTTTTCGCGAGTTCAATTTGACGCTAATTGGTTATCACGCCCTAATAATTTTGCATCGCTGTAAAATTATTGTTACCACCGTTCTTCATCTCAAATCCTTACTAAAGTGAGTAGAAACTAGACCCAGCGTCACAATCTTGTTTACCACTCTCCAGCGAGTGAATTTACTCGAGTTGGTGAGGCAGAGGACGCATTAATCATGGCAGATTTACCAAGGACACTTCGACACGGGCTATTTATCATTATTACGTAAATGGTCACATCCAATCAATTTTGTCAGCTTTCATCAACTCGCAGAAATCCTGGGAAAATAAATCCAGCCGGAAATGAGACAAGATATTCAACAGAATATAATGCGCCCTCCACAGTGAAATGAAAGATGATTTAGTGAATATGCGAATAGACACGCATTCTACTCATAAATTTTACAAGCTGTATATTTTGAAATTATGTGCCTATGCTTAATTTTTAGCCCGAGTCAGGGCTTATGGAACCGTCATGTCCGTCCGTCTGTCTGTCTGTCTGTCTGTCCGGCACGATAGAGCCAAAACGGCTGAACCGATTGACCTGAAATTTTTACTATACACATATTGGACAAAGTTAGGAAACGAGTTCGAAGATGGGCGTGATCGGTCCAGTGGTTGACCGGTGGGGGTCATCGGAGTGGGTGGGGTACTATGTACCAAAATTTCAAAATTGTTGTAGAGAGCTGAAATTTGGTACAGAGGTTGCTAATGGCTCCTAATAGAAAAAAATGACTTCCAGTTGGAAAAATTTTCATCTTGAGTGACCCTATCGGGTGACCCATACCGATTTTCAAAACCATCATATCCAACTGAAATTTGGTGGAGAGGTTGCTTATGGGTTTTAATGAAAGAATATGAGATGATATTGGTAAAATTTTTATCTGGAGCGACCCTATGGGGTGATCCATACCGATTTTTAGAAATTGCTTTAAAAAGTTGAAATCCGGCACAATTATACTTAATGGCTTCTAATTAAAGAATATGAAGTTAAAAGTGAGCAAAGTGCAACCAGAGTGACCCTATGGGGTGACCCATACTGATTTTTAAAAATCGTTATATTGAGCTGAAATTCGATATGGAGGCTGAAAAAGTGAAAACCACTGCTGGGTAGCACATGCATACAGCTTAGAACTTCAGGATGTTAAAGAAGCCCACTGGTCATGGTGGTCAAGGCACATGATTTGTAACTAATTCAAAAATTTGGTACCAAATGGTAGAAACTATCTAATAAACTTTTAACCATCCACAACGCGGAAGTTGGTGATATTATGTCGGTCAATTCGGAAAAAAAATTAGAAGCGGGCTCTGACTTATTGAGTCAGGGACTATGCCCCTGACTCGGGCTATATGGAGTCTGCACTGTAGGTTTTAGATTTAGATTGTGCGTAAAATTCATAGATTTAATTACATAGTGAAACGCCAAATACAAAATTTATTATTATTGGGGGACCTCAGACACACGAAAAAATCGTCGCTTAGAATTTCGCTTCGTTTTTCGCTTATTTCCTGATAAGCGAACTCTGGGGCAAGCGAACAGAAACTCAACTCAGAAGTGGGGTTGAGGTCGGTTAGCTCCAGTCGGAACAAAATTTTGCAAATTTCATAATTCTGGCCATGCTATCGATAAGCGAAAAACGAAGCGAAATTCTAAGCGACAATTTTTTCGTGTGTCTGAGGTCCCCTATTTTATCCCGAAATATTTTGTCACTTAGGTGCTGGCAGTAGAGTGGTGGTCTGGTTGAGTTGAAGACGAAATGAGTTGGCATTATTAATGCATTATAAAAAGTCACCAACTTGAGCAAAATTGAATTTTGAAGCGTCTTTGGATTCCCAGACAAATTTGCGATGAGATAGTACAAATTTCAAATAAATGCAAAAATTTTTTTTTTATTTTTTTTACGAAACTGTGAACGAGCCAGAAATCATGTGCCAATGAGTGGTAGACATGTTGGCTCACAAATTATCAATTTACAATTTTTTTCTTTGGAATTTATACCATTTCATCGTAAATTTGCTGGGGAAATAAATAAAAATTAATCAAAGTATAAATTTGTCATACCTATACCGGCAGGTTATTTAATTTTAATTCTTGTCTTAACTTAATTTAAAATAAAGCATTGAGCATAACAGTTAATTTGGGCCGGAAGGAATTTACCTCGAGTGAGAAGAAATGTTTTTCTCAGAATAATAACAATTCCGGAAGTGCTGAGAAGACGGAAATGTGGAGAAAGTTGGCCAAAAGTCTTAATTTAACTTTTGAGCTTCAGCACAACACTGGACTTATTGTGAAGTTGGACTTACTTTTGCGACAACAATTCTCGTCCCTCGTCGTCCTCATTAAAGGTCCGGCACCCAGCTTAAGTTTGGGTTAGGCTTAAGTCAGGGATCGTTATCTGGGACGTCAAGTTTTGTGAAAGCGCTATTGTCAACTTTATATTGTGTAGATTCTAAGAACTTAAGAAATAGTGAAAGTAAATACGAAACAGAAAATCGGGTAGAATTGTGCCGATTTTGTTACAATTTGCTTGTCTACATTAAAAATATGGTAGTGGCAAATTCTACCGCATTGGTAATTGCATATATATATACACTGTTAGAAAACCTAGTATAGTCAGGCCGATATTGGTTTCTTGGCATTACAGATGCTACCGGTTGGTATTTAAAGTATTCATGTCCGTAAAAATTTGTTATCGATATGGTAAAACTTTAATACCGATCAATTACTACACGGTATTACTTTAGTAGAGTATATATTATATTGCAGAATAACTGGCTGAATAGGATAAAAAATCTTCCGCTCTACTCGACCTGCTTATCACGTGACAGAGCCGAGAACCCAGCGCCGTAATGATGTCGAATTATTTTACGCTCGTTTATTTTATTTTGGCGTAAAAATCATTCAATTACCTAAATTCTTGACCAGAATTGAATAATTTAAACGCCAAAATAAAATAAACTAGTGTTAAATGGTGCAATAAATTTTATTTGTGATAACGTGTGCTACGGCGCTGTTCTGAAAATCTCATAATCACCCGTAATAAACTTAAAAGCGGTCAGATTTTGAATTTAAGTCTATCCTATCCAGCCAGTTATTTTACAATATGAATACCACCTGGTATCATTATAATACTTGATTTCTATATGATAGTGTATTTATATTCCGTTGAAATGTTACAATAATTTTGTCCATAGACAAACTTGACACAGAGAAACTGTTACTGGTGTGGTAGTACATAAATCGTAAAAATCTGTACAGCTTCATGCTGGCTAACCCTTACTTTGAGTGTTACTAAAACTGCAATTAAGAATTTAAAATTAACAGATTAATTCCAATTAACACATCCTAACAAAAAAGTTTTCCAAAAATTGAAAGTGTACGAAATGATTCCAGTCAATTTTTTTAAGAACATATGACAACTTGACAAAGAATTATGTAAATGGTATGCTATGAAATTATAAGAAACGTTGCATAAATATAGTGTTGAAATCTCCTAAAAATACAACAAACCATGCAAAAAAATAAGAGTGATAAAAAGAAATGCAGAATTCTGTACAAACTTTTGATACGACAAAATGAACCCAAAAAAAGTTTTATTTTTTAGATAACGCTGTTACTTTATGTTATGTGTTATGCAAAGATAAAGTTCCGAAGGGTGGGGAAAGTGGAAACTTATTTCCTTCTTATGTAGTTTGGTTGAATACGAGAAAACATTCTGGACACGATTTGAAAAGACAACTTTTTATTGTATTTTAATTACAAATTTCTGTTCATGAAAGGTGAATTTGGACGGATTTGTCAAAGTTTTATACAAGGATTTTACGATTGAGTACTTTTCACAGTATTGATCAAAGCTTCCAAAAACTGGGGAAAATTTTTTCGAATAATTTGTCAATCCAGAACATATAACTTTTATATAGGCAAAATATCAAGATTTTTATTGATTATTTTGAAGCATTAATTTGAACGATTAATTATTACCTAATTGGATATGCCCCATGGTGCGTTAAAAAATATAGAGACAAAAAAATCTGAGAGGTTATCTGACAAAGTTTATTTGCATATAGTACAAAAAAACTATTTAGAAAAAATTAAGGAATTTTGTCTCTATTCTTTTAACGAACCGTAGACTATTTGCGTAGCATAATTTTGCTAAAAATTTCAAGCCAATCCATAAATTTGCAAATATCTACGCCATTTCCTAGATAAACGGACAGACATGACAATTCAATAAAATCTAACGCTGCTAAAAAGATATGAGTGATGTTTAAAATGGATTCGTGATTCAGATTTTGCTTGTAGATGGACGTCAAATTGTCACTTGATATTTTAGCTTGACGGTCTCAATTTTATGGCAGGACGTCAAATTTGTATTCCTCCATCATACCAACGCCCACCTTGCTTATCCGAGCCCACGTCGTTATATTTACAAGCGATGGCACAATTTTTTTCACAAAGTTACACATTTGTCACCCGGAAGTGGAGTCCGAATTGAGCAAATTTCACGGTCCAGCGAGTGACCAGTCTTTTATAAATGTCACCCTTTCCTAGTTACTGAAAACGAACCCGAGTTTATTTGCACTGACAAAATGGGGACGCAAACCGTGTTCAACCCAGATTA